CAAAACAACCAAAAACAAATTACCCCAAAACACATCTCGCCTGTCTGTAGTGACAATAGTCACTGCTGAATGAGTAGCAGGCGAGGTGCATTGTGGGTAGCTGGTTTCCAGTTGTTTGTTCTATTTTGGTGTGTTTTATCAGGGTTTTTTTTGCCAGTGTTGTGTTGGATGCTGTAAGTCTTTTGTTCGGTGTTCTGATGGTGATCATTTTGATTTGTGTTAATTTTGCACCATGATTAGCAGTTCTATTCCAAGGAATGGGATTCCAGTGTTGTTTCATTTATCATCAGTGTGTCTGATAATAAACATTGTTGCCAGTGTGTATAATCATGCAGGATGTTAGCTGTTAGCATTCCTGCCAATACATTGCTTAAGCTTAGCAAAACATATTGCTGGTTTTTACACAAAACTTTTAATCAGTAACGCATAATGTCTTGGAAAAACTTTCATTTGATTACTGATAAAAATAGTAATGTGTTAGATTAGTTGTTACTGGGAAAAATGGCCATTTTGGAGAAACGCGCTACTGAGTAACGCATTACTGGCACCACTGGCTGGGACTACAGTTTTAAAGGTCACTGTTGGTATAGAACACTATGCTGGTTTAAAATCATGCATTGCACGGAGGGTTCCCCTGCTCAAGTCATCATATGTCCAGGTCCGTTTGAAGTTTGCCAGTGACCACCTGGGTGATCCAGAGGAGACATGGGAGATAATCATGTGGTCAGATGAGACCAAAGTAAAACTTTTTGGTCTAAACTTCGCTTGCCATGTTTGGAGGAAAAAGAAAGATGAGTTACATCCCAAGAATGCCAACCCTATTGCATAGCACGGGGGTGGAAACATCATGCTTTGGGGGTGCTTTTCTGCCAAGGGGACAGGACAACTGCAATGTAAGGAGAGGAAGAATGGGACCATGTGTTGAGAGATTTTGAGTAACAACGTCCTTCTCTTAGTCAGAGCATTGAAAATGGTTCATGGTTGGGTCTTCCAACATGACAATGACCCAAAGCACACAGTCTGGATGACCAAAGAGTGGCTCCGTAAGAAGCATAGCGAGGTTCTGGAGTGGCCAAGCCAGTTTCCAAATCTAAATCTAACAGAAAAAATTTGGAGGGAGCTGAAACTACATGTTGCTCAGAGACAGAGGTGGACTGGCAGTCCATGAGAATCCCAGAGCGACCGTGTGCTCTGGGGCCAGTGAGTGTGCTCCAAGCTTGTTGTCAGCGATACCAGCAGTTGTAAAATAGTAATTGTATGTGTAAAAAAGTACATTTGACAACTGAAATATTCTAAAATAATTTTGGTATCTTCGCTACACATCTAAAGACTTTGTGTCTGACTCATCTAGGCTTTTAGCACTGTTGTGCTGATAAAATATTTAAGCATATGGGCAACCAGACAGAGAAAAAGACATTTAAACATCTGCCAGTGAAATAAAAACTGCCCTTCTGGTAGTTCCAACAGCAGGAGATGTCTGCAGGACCACATCGGGACATCAGGACACATATACAGTCTCAGACTATAAAGAATCACTAGCTTTGGAATTTACAGCAAGTAGAAATTGATCTATTCCTGCTGTGTGCTTTTTAATTTTTTTTTTTACAATGCTTCGTTCACAGGCGAGAACAAACAGGTGGAGAGGAAGCAGCCTGACTGCTGAATTAGTGTACATACAGCAGATTTCACAGTTAAAGTGGAAGCAAAGCAGCATGAAACTCTAAACCAAGGATTTTCTGTTAACATTCAGAGAAAGTTCCCACAAACCTCTCTGACCCTTTTATTTACAAATTACCTTAAAAGTATTGCACTGACAGGGCGCCATTACTCTCTCTGTAGAAGCAGCCTCAAATGACAGGAATAATAAAACCAAAAAGAACACAGCTTGCATCTGCCTGGTGATCTGTGTGTGAGTTTACACTGTTTTATGAGCATATATGTGCGATCAGAGCTGTTTCAGCTCATGGATGGCTGACATGAACAGATGTTAGGGTTGTTAAGGTACAGCCGTTTGCAACGCTCATGTGAGAGCACGAAACAGACCCATTTGTGCTCACCAGAAAGTCTCTACTGACATGAAGAATTTGATGCTTCATTGGACTTTATGCAATACGTGTGTGCATCATTGAATGTGCATGCAAGAAGGTGAGGAGTACGGAGGACATTCTGACAGGCTGAGAACGTTTGACCCACCTATGCTATGCTAGCTAGAGAGGACATACCTCTGTGAGCTCCTCTGCTGTGCATACTAAAGGTGCTCTGACCTTGGGCGTGTGCCATATGTTCATGCACATACACCAGCAGAATACAAACACATCTGAAATGTGAGTGCAAATGTAAGAAATGCAGGCAATGTGCAGAAACAGCATCTGTGTGATTCATGCATACTTTACTGTTTGCAATATTTAGTTTAAGGACTGTATTTGTGTATTATTTGTTTTTCTCTGACTGTGACCAACTTCATGTGAATTTTTTTTTTACTTTCTCTTTTGTAGATCTATTCCTTGGTTTTGAAAATGCATATTTTAAGGTCTGAAGCCAACAAGCTCACCTTCTTACAACTTTAGTGCTTGCAACCAAGATGGAGAGGATTGATTTTATATATTAAATTCTGGTCAGAGGCATATGTGAAAAAGAAAACAGCATAAATCAATGTGACTTTCCAGGTAAATGTGAGAAATCTGACTAGCAGTTGCCTCAAATAACCTTTTGAGTTTTGATTCAATCCCACAGATTTGATGATGACCAGGTTGCTATGACGATTTCCACAGCCTACATATCACATGGAGAAACAGATTAGTGTGAAAGATCCTGAAACATCAGAGATGTGTACGTCTTTCATTTGGCCTATTTGTGAGCGTCCACCCTGAGATTGGGAGATCATAGGTTCAAATCCACAATTGGGTCATACTAAAAACTTTTAAAATGGGTCCCAATGACTCCCTGCTTGATGATCAGCTTTAGGGGGGTGAATTGGGGGGTTTAAACCACTAAATAGTTCAAGCATGGACATATCTGCAGCTCACTGCTCCTCGTGGAGATGGGCCAAATGCATAGACGTAATTTCACCAGTTAGTGATGACTAATGGGACTTTAGCTTTAGGTGCAGGTTGAAATCAAGTGCAAATTGTTGGGTGGAGATTTTCATGTATTGTCATCTGCACATTAACTTTATTTTTTTAGAGAATTTGTCTTTACAATAATAATCAAAAAACCTGACAAGTTGTTATTTTTTATTTGCTTGTTTTAAAGGTAAAAGAAATCATGGAATCTGCAGGGTTGTGGTTTGAGGGACACTAGCATTTAACCAACAGTTTTACACACAAACAGCAGCTGAACTGATCTGACTCTGAAAGAGTGTGGTCAGGTTTAGTTGTTAATCTGGTCATGATGCAAGATAGTGTTCAAAAAATATGTTTTTGTTGTTTTCCAAACTATAAAAGCAAATTTTGCATTGAGGTATAAATATCATGTTCTGTTGATAAATAGTTTTTATTACAACAGGTTCATTTTCATTATATTTTATCTAACATTAAAATAAAATCTACATGTGTTGTCATCACCGTGCCAAAAAGACTCTCCATGTGCCGACCTTAATTATTTAGTGGTGTGAGGGTCAAGCTTATGGTCAAACACATTTTTGGCAGTATTTTTGATAAATGGGGTTTTTAAACAAAATCATACATGTTACTAAAACAGTACTGAAACACACATTTGGTCATTTTTTAATGATGGGTAGAAAATATAATTTATTATCAAAATTATAATGCATGTTTTAATATTATTTCATCAACATGTTGATTGAACAGAACTTGTGAGGAAGCATTGTCATTGCAATTGAATGACAATAACAACTTTTATTTTGGAAGAAAATTCAATTAGATTAAGTCAGCTTTCCGGCAAGTGACAGAACTGGGCTATATGTATTCATATATATATATATATATATATATATATATATATATATATATATATATATATATATATATATATATATATATATATATATATATATATATATATATATTCCCCCTGAATTGTGCAAAGCCAATAACCAATAAAGCGCTGTGCTTGGACCGCCATGGATGTCAGTCACAGGGGGAGTCTGCTGTTACACAGCAGAAGAAGTCATAAAACACAGAAAAATGTGAACCAATAGAATGTTTTTCTAAATAAATGCGCTGTGATTGGCCAGCCACAACACAGTCTGGGGCTGTGAAGGTTCCACAGGAGCGTGCCGAGATCGACATACAAACTAAATAATTTTGCTTCGGCAAATGACGGTCTAAATTCTAGACTGAGTATTTGTACCATTAGATAACAATTATTAAGCATATGCTGTGCATTGATTTGTTTTATTAACATAAATTCAATTTTATTTGACAAAACTTGTTTGCTTTCAGAATCAGAATCAGAAGGGTTTTACTGCCATTTGTGCAAGAATCACAACCTTAGGAAATTGATGCGGTACTTGGTGCAAGAAAAAATAAATAAGCAAAATTAGAATTAATAAATAAACACAATGAAATGATAATAATAATATAGGGAATCAATAATTAGAGAAGCAGCTACTTTTAACACAACACCTGAGTTACAGCTTGAACCCCTCAACTATTCTGTAGAGTTTGTGATTATTATTGTGTTATTTTTGTGTTTTTCATTGCAAACCACGACAGATAGCATTCACGAATCTAAAAACTGACATGGAGAAAAGCTATTTTCAAATTGCTCAATTTGTGATTCACTGTTGAGGATAATTGGTGGTTTAAAAGGGGACAACTGATTTATGCCCTGGCAGAGGCGATTTGAAACTTCAGACTGCTGCAGAAGTTTAATGTATATAAAAAGATCTACACAGTCGGTGGAGGCTAACACTCCGTCCATTTTGGCTAAAGGTAATTTACCCTTTGGATCCCCTTGTGCCTTTTTAAACCGCTCTGCTCAGAACAAATCTATTCACAAATACTTACTGAAACCTGCAACTTGTCTGTGTCTTTCAGGTTTAATTGGAGTCCTGACTGCTGCGCTGGATCCAATAAGAGTTTGGAGGAGGAGGACGGATGATCCCTCGGAGTCTAACTGAGAATGCTACCTGTCCCTCCACCTCACCATGTCGTCTTAGAAACACCAATAACTTCTTCCCCTTCACCGCTCCTCTTTTTGCCTTTGTCACTTCCCCATAACCCCCTGGGTTTTTGATCCCCGTCCACTCCCAGCTTAAGTCCCTGTGATTTGAGTCATATAGTTTTATTTTGGAAATGCCAATTTTCCTAATCAATGCTGGTGGCCACCAAGGCTCTGGTGGGAAGTGTCTGAGTATTTCTCAGCAGGTAGCTAATCCCTGCCTGATGTGGCTCCTGGGATTGGTGCTGCAAATGACTCTCTCCTCGTCTCAACGAGTCGACCTGAAACACCCCATAGTATCCACCGGCTATGGAAAAGTCCGAGGTATCAGGAAGGAGCTCAACAATGAGATCCTAGGCCCTGTGGAACAGTTCTTGGGTGTGCCATACGCCACCGCTCCCATCGGCGAGCGGCGCTTTCAGCCCCCTGAAGCCCCGGGTTCCTGGCAGGAGATACGCAATGCTACCACTGTTGCACCAGTATGTCCCCAGAATGTGCATGGGGTTTTACCTGAGATCATGCTACCAGTGTGGTTCACAGACAACCTGGATGCTGCAGCGACCTATGTTCAGAACCAGAGTGAGGACTGCCTTTACCTCAACATTTATGTACCCACGGAGGACGGTGAGTCTGGAAAAAACAATACTTACTTTTCTCGGGTTGGGACAGGTTCAAATCCGTTCCTGATGTATTAATGTTTTATTTTTTATTTTTTTTACAAAAATGTATTATTTGCACATAATTTTACCTTTTTTTTAGATGACAGAAATAAGTAATTATTGTCTTAAACATTTCACACTAAAATAGGTCTGGTTCTGCTCTGATCATGTTTTAAATGTTACATTCTGGTAAAATCCTCTTATTAACAAATTCACTTTAATTATGAACCAGGAGCTCCTAAAGCAACACTAAAGTTTTACGCTTTTCCCTCCTACTGATTGAACTATCGTAAACAACCCTGCCACAGCCTGCTGTAGCTAGCGTTAACAACAAGCTAATGCCGAAACAAGCCAGCTTACATTAAATAAACCAAAATATAAAAAAAAATCATGCTGTCAGACAACAAGTATTACTTAGAAGTCCAGTAGCAACAAAGCCAGGTCACCATCAGTCCATGATTTTATAGCCGCCTTTAGCTCCCTAAAAATAAATGTAGGCCATGCCGATGTGCTCTCTGGTTTAAGCTGTTTGCTTCATCTTTAAAGGCATTACTGCCTTACCTTTAATTCCAGGCTCCGCTGTGTTGCCAACAAAATAAGAAAAACTCTTTTTTTTTTTTTTTGCATTTTTATTGATGGTCGACTAGCTGAAAAGGCTAACTGCTAGTCTTATGAGCTACCAGCAAGTTTCTGGCTCAAGAACCACTAAACCCAGCTTGAAAGCAATAGCGTAAAGTGCTAAAATCCCTTTAGTGTTGCCTTAATAAAACTCAAAAGACACTCAGGATCCTCACAAGGACTAAGACTGATGTCAGTTCTATCAATAATTTAGAAATTTTATGTATTTTCCCATGAATTTCAATGTTTTAGAGTTACCAACACTGGCTTGTTTGACTCTTCTTTAGACACAGTAGGGAAATGTATTTTCAGTCCTGTTTTTGTACACAAAAAGAGGCAGAACTTATGAAGAATGTTTTGATGAAGTTTTATTGGTTTTTATTTTCACTGAAGTTTTTAGAGAGCATTTGATGAAATCTTTATATTTTATTCAGACTTATTTCAGGGGTCCCATGTTGGTGCAGTTGGCAGTCCTGCTGCCTCACTGCTGGGAGGTTGCAGGTTTGAATCTCAGTTGTGGTCTTTTTGCATAAAGTGTTATTACTATTAATAGCAATATTAATTAGGTGCATTAAGTCAATTTGAGCCTCTGAATATTTGAGACCTTAACATCCTTCACTAAGCTAAGCTAGCTCTTGTCACTTAAGTGTGTAGCATTAAAAAACAATAGTTTGACAACTATTGTCTTTATAGTTATTTATATTATATATATATATATATATATATATATATATATATATATATATATATATATATATATAGCCATTTTAATACAAAAATAATGGTTCCATTGCTAATAAATCTGGTTTACTGTTCCTTAATTATAAAAAGGCATTTTTTACCTATTTATTTTCACTTTATCGAAACCATAATCCTATAGAATTAATCTAAGAATATTTTCTATATTTAAACACATGAAGAACAAAGGCTACGTCTCTTTTTGTTGGAGAACAACACCCTACCCCCACCCTCAAACATTGTCTGAGCTTGCAACTATTATAATCATTTGATACACACTTGGAAAAAAGCTTTTGACCTGCATTGATTTCTCACTAATTTAGTCACAAATATGCTACAAGTTGCATTAACAACGACACTAGAGATTCTGGTTTTAGGGTCTGAGACGATTTCCAGTTTTTGTAAACCTCTGACCAGCTGGTAACAAATTAGGCTGATTCAGATTTGTCTCAGAGAGTTGTAATTAAAAGAAAACTGATTTTTTACCTATGATTAATGAGAAAATTATGATTCAGCAACTAAAAACTTCCAGATTAAAGATTTGTTAGAGCACGAGTTAGTCTTACCTCAAAGACTGGGATGAAAGATTGTTTTTTATTGCTCCTTTGCAACGGTGCTTTCAAAGACTGAAAAAAAAATCATATTTTTTAGGTTAGGTACACAGATAAGACAAATTCATATAATTGGTTTGATCTAAGACACAAATCTGATGCAAAATAGATACTTTGGGATAAAACAAGTTGAAAACAATGAAACCTCACTTTCTTCATAAGAAATCTAAGTTTGTTTTGTTATCATGTATTACTTTTAGTGAGTAATTAAAAAAAGCAAACAAACTGATAAAATAGGAGATTAAACCTGTAGTATACATGTGAGCTGCACTACTAATTAAAGCTGTATGAATGGGTTCACCTGAGACTTGCAGGGCGCATTCAGGAAAACAAACGTGTGTTGTACTTTAGCACAAAACCTAAAATTGAAGGTTCATTTAAATACTAAAAAAAATACTTAAAAAGAATTTTAAAGATCAAGATTGAAATTTATTTGAAAAAACTGAAAGCAAGGAAAAAAATGCTAAATCAGCTTCATTTAAATATTTTAAAATTACCCTAAGGAGCACTTATTGTTGTGCAGTGTGTTAACTGTGTGATGCACGTCACATGCTCAAGGACAGGATGATGTTCAGTCTCTGGAGTTGTTCTCCTGGGAGAAGGTGTGCAAATGAGTGAGACAGATTTTACATGTATTCCGTCTGCTTGTCAGATCCTGTCACTTATTGTCAGAGGTCACTGCTTACACGAGGCGGCTGCAGTCTCCAAGGACTTGTTGAAGTTGTGTGTGAGAAAAATTCCAGGAGTAGGAGAAAGCACTCCTGGAATTGAACTGATGTTCCAAGTAGGACCACTTTTACAGTCCCTGAAATAGTTAGCATTGTTAGAATCCTCAGATTGTCAGTTCGGCCAATAGGAGTTCTTAAAAATCCTAACCCTAACCCTTCTATCGGTTTGAGGCTTTGCAATGGCAACAACTATAAAAATATGACACACATGTAAGGAGTCTATTCATCTTTGATAATGTTACAGTTTATACTGCTGGTGCATGTTAGTGATATGAAGGAGGCACTCATCAGAAGAAAAAAAAACAAGAAAATATTTGAACTAATGTTGTGCTTTTCCAGTCTGATTCATTAAAGATGCATGCATCTAAAACCAAACAGATCTTAATCCAATTTGAGTTGTTCTAGATGTCTCACTGGAGCTTTTCTTTGCATGGTGCATGCAAATTATTTGATCTTTCCTAAACAGAATAACATCTTTTCCACGCCACAGGAATTGTCTTCTGACATTAAGAGAAGCTACTTACTGTGTCGGTTAAGTAACTTGTTGCCAGCTGAAACATAATCATTCATGCGGTAACTATCCAATGGGAGGCCCTTACCTATGTGCTTTGATGAATTGAGACGGTTACACACACACACACACACACACACACACACACACACACACATATATATATATATATATATATATATATATATATATATATATATATATATATATATATATATACTGTGTGTGTGTGTGTGTGTGTGTGTGTGTGTGTGTGTGTGTGTGTATGTGTGTGTGTGTGTGAATAGCAAATGAATCACATTTTGTTGACACAAAATTGGAATAAAGAAATATAACTAGATTTAATCCCAAAGCTGCACTGCTAAAAGGTTGCTCTACCAGTCCAATCATGTCTGGGTAACGGTGTGATACACATTCTTGGAAAAGAAGTTCAAGCAAGCTACAGTGTGAAAAACAAAAAGAAAAAAATAAACAATTCTAAGGTTCAACCCCTTCCTTGAGGCTCCCTCCCAAAATCACAGAATCTGACAGTTACACAAATCAGTGTAACACCGCCCAAACGCAACGGATACTGTCACCCCTACTTCACACTGGAAGCAACAGTATCGCGGAGCAGCAGCATGTATACTCAGGAGTTTTGCTGCGTGCCTGTACACACCAAGACAGTCTCAGGCCCTCTCCACACGTAGCCGGGGATCTGCCAAAACGTAGATATTTTTCTACCTTTTGGCCTGTCATCCACACGAAAACGGATCTTTTTCACACGAAAACGGATCTTTTTAAAACTCCGGCCAAAGTGAAGATCTGCGTTTTCTCCGTTTTGGGTGTCTGCATGTGGACAGACAAAACTGGAGTTTTAAGGTCCGCAACGTCACTTTCACATGTGCGACCTGTGTTTACACTAGCCGACAGCATGGATGCCTCAGAGCTGCGCTCGTTTTATCAATTGTCCAAGCGCTTTTTGCTTGTTTGTTTTTGTGAGCGGAATTACTGCTACTTGCGGAAGACCACAGACGAAGGACGAGGTTAAGAACGGGGGAAGTACTGCCGCCTACAGGTCTGGCATGTCCTTAACAACGTATTTATCCGGGTACGTGTGGACAGAGTTTTGTTTTAAAACGAGGTGATGTGGATGCAAGTTTTTGGAGGGGCGGATATTCGTTTAAAAAAACGGCTACGTGTGGACTAGGCCTTAGTCACAAAGTGGCTTCTCCACCATTCTCCTTGCAGGAATCACGAGATCACAAGATTCCTTGAGACTTCAAAGGATGTGGCTTGTTTATGCCATCTCCTATTAAGCCAAAAAGAAGGAAATCACGTTTGATATTGCTGTTTGATGACATTAATGATGTTGTTCCTCTCCATTGCCAGAATGAAAGCCATAAAAACACAACGCTGCATTTCTTGAACAATGCAGGGAGTAAAGATGCCACGAGGTCACACGTATAGACGTAATCTACATAGATATGAAAATGCACTAGCCTTTTATTTAGAAAATTACCAGACTTTTCACACAGAAACCATGTGTGATTTCCAAGCCCTATGTTAACTGCCTTAATTGATGTGTTCCAGAAGCAACTCGCAGCAACAATAGAACCCGATCCTATCTTTAGAGGAGCGGGGTGCCATTTCTGGGACGCGCCTAAAAATTGCCGCGTCATGCTGGTTTGTTACGCCCCCATAGACTATAATGGATTCTATTTGAAGCAGCTACGCTCCCTGCCGCTGATGCTTCCAGTGTGAAGTAGGGATGAAACAAGAATAAAAACACAAGGTCCAGGATTACCTGATTTCTAGTTTTGCTCTCTTTAGACAAACATGTTGGACAGCCAAAGCCAACTTCCTGCTGCAGTAGTTCTTTGAACTATGCAGCACACAAACACACACTCTCAATACTAAAGTTTCGTATTTTGTGACTACGTGACATTTTTCCATGTGGCCAGTATCCTTTAGTGACATGGAGCTGCATTCACACTCACATCTGAAAATGAATTGGCAGCACAGACTCATGCATAGCCTTGAAAATAGTCTTCTGCTGCCAGATCTGTTCAACGTTTCATGACCTTCTTATTCTAGCTTGAGTCATGCACAGTGTGTCTCATACCCAGGAACTTGTTCGCTGACCGGGTGCTTGGCAAAAATCTTCAGATAAAATAGGAAATCCTACACCATCTTTGCTCCGTGCATCTGCTCACCCTTCCTGCTCTGCCCTCTCTAAAATGATGACTGCCTCTTCTTTCCACTCCTCTCGCTCCTCCATCTTTATGCGGATGGCAGTGGAAAGGGTCCCTGTTCTGAATGTGAATGAGCATGGTGCCCTTCCCTAGCAGATCACCAAGTAGCCCACTTAATGCAATTCAAATAACACAAATGGTCTTTTAGATTAAAATGTGCATTTTTCACCCTCCTGTTATGCTCAACATTAAACTCATGTGCAGACAAGTTGTTAGAGGAGAGAACTGTCTCACCATGTTCCTATTTCCTCAAGACACTCCCCAGGCAAAGGCCGGAGATCCTTCATTTTTATTGCCACAAGAGCAGCCATTTACCGCGCACTTTATTAAAAACCATATTTCAAAGGGGGCAAGGATGGAGGTGGGTGCAGCAGAGGAGATGGAGAGCAAAAAGGATATAACTGCATGTGCTGCAAGTTGCCGTTTGTGTATGTGTGTGCGTGAGAGTGGGGGAGTTGGGTGGATGGGATGCTGAGGCCGTGTCTGACACCTTGTCAAGTAGACAGGCCACCACAGACATGACACACTGCAGCTTCATCCCGTTTACTGCACTGAGGAAATGGAGAGGGACGGAAGACAGCTAGCGTTCTGGCCACTAGCTCGCTGAGGCGGAGAGAAATGCAGTTGAGATGGAGCTGCGTTAGGTCAAACAGTACCGTCCCGGGACAGCCTGAGCTGAACGTTCCTCCATAGGCAATTGAATTTCACCCGAGCAGTGGCTCATTACACCATGCGGCAGTCAGCCCACTGTCAGGCATCTGCTCTGGGACAAACGGAAAAGATTATTTTGGCCCTAAAATGCGTGTATTCCCCCTTTTAGACCACTTCCCACTCCATATCCTTCTTAATGCATTTCAGTGTTTCCTCAAACCTTTAATTATCCGTTAATCCATGAAATATTTGATTGTGGTTAAACATCACATTTCAGTGCAAAATCAAAACTGTATAAATCATCTTCAATTTATTAATTAATTTATATATTTTTTTTAGATTAGCAGCTAGCTACACTACTTGTTGGGTAGGGACTCTAACTTTAGGGTTCTACAACCCCCCAAGGCGCTTCATAAAACAATCAGTAATCGCTTACTATATTTTTTCTGTAAATACTATTTTGTTTTCTTGCTAAAACATTTCAATAAATGTTGGATATTGTAACTTTTGATCTTAACATTTAGCAAACAAAAGCTTCATTTTTCCAGTAAGGAGAAAAAAATCTGCAAACTGACAAAATGCTTTATAGAGACAACCATGGCCTCTAAAAGATTCACTTAAATCATTTTAAGATACCCTGAGTTTTCTTCTGGAGCATTAATTAGTTTGGCATTTACAGTTTAGAATAAAATGTCTCCCTTCCATTTCCAGGAAATTTAGTTCTGATGTTCGTTCCCATCAAGCAAAACTTTTAAAAAAAATTTCCAAAATACAAGAAGATTTATTTAAATTGACTGCTTATGGTAGTAGACCTTTAAATGAAACTAGACTTACTTCAAAACAGGACGTTATATTTCATTGTTGTTAGTTTGACTTGATTTGCTTTGCTGCAATTCCTAAATTCATGATAAAAGTCCTAACACTGATTGCTTGTGTGTTTCTGAAGGCAAGACTTTTATTGTGAAATATCTTCTTGCATAAAATAACAGTCGATAGGACTTAAAGGGTAATACATGAACCAAACCATGATCATGAGGCTGATTCATGTCCAATCTTACTGAGCTACTTTTCGAGCTTAATAGTTTTGGTTTCCCTTTTATATTTGCTGCCACATCACCTTAAAGAGCATTTCAAATAAGTTTGAGGCCATATCGACCACCCTTATTTATATTTTCATAGCTGCATGCAGATGTAAAAATGATCACGTTTTTTAGCAGAGTCCACATATTAGCATGCTGGTATTAGCATGTGCACTCAGGGCGAAAAAGGCTGAATCTATTGTACTTTCTAAAACTGTAACAGTAACACAGAGCAGTTTCCTGCTCCTCTGCCCTACTGGTTGAAAGTGAAATTACAACTGTCGTAAACAACGCTGCTGCAACCTACTGTTGGGCTAGCCACAAAATCTAACACTAACACAAACCACAAGGTAAAAATATCCACATTGTTGGTCCAGTAGCAACAAAGCCAGGTCACCATCAGTTTGTGATTTTGTAGCCTCCTTTAGCTACCTAAAACTAGTGTAGGCTAGTGTTCTAGTGTTCACTTTAGTTTTAGCTCTTTGCTCTGCCTCCAAAACAGTATTCCATCACTTTTACCACTTGTGCTTTTTATTGACGATCGACAAACTGAAAAAAGTTTTCCCCTATAGGGCACCTAGCCGCTCCACAAAGCTGTTAAGTTCAGTATCTGGTCAGTAGAGTGTACATGCAATGCAAAAATCACAGAGATCAATGATAAAGCTCTAGCTTTAGTGAAAATAGTCATAACTTTTCAGTGTTACTTTAATGGAACATATATAATTACCTGACATGATGAACTTAATTAAAAGAAACATAAAAATGGATTAATAGTTTGACAAATAAAGTAAAGATTTGTTATAAAACTGTCTTTTGGACATGTTGTCTCCATGTAAGACTATTTAGGATTGGGTCCTTTCACAGGGTGCGACTTCCTGAGCGGCGCTCATCCTCAGATAGTTTGTCTCTTCCAGAAGCCGAGAACTCAACTGAAACCAAAGTTGACTCCATTAAACAGAAAGGTGTGGTTTTAGAGTGGTGCTAAGTAGTGGAGGATTGCTGACAAGCCAGAAGACTAATAGGCCTTTCTTTCCATTACCGGTCGGTCCACCTGTTTCTGTGGCTCCGAAGCACCGGCTGCACCATCCCTCGCTCTGGCATTAAGTGCTCTGAGGACCAGGCGCCTGCATAGTGGTACTGAGAGGATGCATCTAATCCCTTTACCATTGATCCATACCTATTAAGGCGGAAGATGAACGTTTTATATCAGGAAACCATATACACACAGACGGATGAGTGAGAATGCGGCAACGCAGTGGTGGAATGGAGCGAAGCTGTGCGTCTATCTTGTCAATAGATGCACAGCCCTGTGAAAAGGGTACATGCCAGCACCTCACTGTGAGGTTTTCTGCAGTAGGGGAGAAACAGCGCACCATCAGGGCGATACACCACTTGGCAACACAACACAGAGGGTTTCTTTAAACAAAAAGCTGAAAATCCGCCTCGCTGGTGAGTCGGGGAAGGTACATTTGGAGCCAGATGAAAGTGAGTGTTACGCTAAATGCACCAGTTCATAGTTTGGTTGGAAGCTCCACTTACCAAAAACGAAAAGGGGATGGGGAGGGGGGGGGGGGGGGGGGGGGGGGGGGACAAATTAATGGGGTCCTTATCAGTTAAGGCTAACAAAGGTTGACACGGCGGGGCATTGGCTGGTCACTGTGATAAACGCTTGTTATTGGCTTTCCCCTATGGAGCATTTAACTGGTGTGACCATTAAAGCTTAATGTTGGGACCCTCTCTGACCTTGATGAGGGAAATCCTGTCACAAGCCCTTGCTGGATGAGTTAACAACAAAAAATACGCTCCATTCTTCACTAAATGTTCTCCAAAATCCTCTCATTTCAGCTTTTAGGCTAGTGTTTAATGTGAATTTATTTATCGCTTTTAGCATTCAGGCTGTGGTGCTTGCTTAAATTGAAACGGGACACATAGTCTCTTGGCATTCCTTTTCTTTTTCTGACCCCAAAAGAGATTGCCTGATTCTGCCTATTGGTTTTTTCTTTGCAAAGCAGAAATGCATCTGGACTGATTGGGAAAAGGGTTGATGAGGAGTGGCCTCGGGGTCATTTACCAAGCGGTTAAAACAGATGACTTTGGGGTTATGTATTAGGAAACCGTGTATAATCCTTGTACAGAGCCACTAATGTACAAGCAAGTGCAATGTTATTAAACCTAGTTTGTTATTAAGTTCAATATTTCCTAAAAGTATGTCTTTTGTCTCTTTTCTGAACTTCAGGTCCACTCACAAAAAAGCATGATGAGTCCACGTCGAACAGACCAAGGGATGAAGGTATTTGAATTGCATGTTTTTCTCACTTATTTCTCTGTTTGTTCAGATTTGATGGAGGATGCAGAGTTTGCATCTGTAATATTAATCATCGCTCTCAGTGCACATCACATTGTCTAATGTTCACTGTTTTCATCAGCAGATAAATCTGTCTTTCTCTTTCATAAGCACGGATTTAGATTACTAAAAGCTACCTACAAAATAGTTGTTCATCATTCCCCCCTCGTCACAACTCCCACTTTTGGGGACTCGCACGGGAAGCTAATTTACTTTCCTTTCTTGGTTGCTATGTGCCTGATCAACCACACGCTGATGTTCTCGCCGCCCTGTGTGATGCTTCTCTCACAAATCGATATTCAGCCCTCTTTCACCTCCTTTTATTCTGCCTCTAAACTTCTTGTGAAATGGTCTGCTAAATTATTGTTCTACATGACATCATTCAACACTTTCTCTAATTTTTCAAGAACAGCAGAAGAATTATGCAGACTTTTGGTCTTGCTTTCCAAATCCATTTTAAACTAAATGTGTGCAGGAAGCATCTGTTCCAGTGCAACATGCACGCTCTTTGAGCATTGCATGTCGTGACTGCTTGAGCACAACACATGTTTACATCTATGCTCAGAAACCCATTTCCTAAATTGCATGCAATGTTATTTAATTATTTTTGTTTTGCTTTCTGTATTTTGAGCTCTATTTTATGAGTATTGCTCTCTCTATCTTTAACTCTCCTGCATCTCTAATTGTTGAGCCTTATAAAAGAGACAAACAAGAAGACAGATCTAGCTAATCCATGTGTGGTGTGAAAACAGAAGGCTGGATTCATGTAGGACTGTGGAGAAAAGGGGGAATAATTGATAGAAAAGAGATGAAAGAAGAGGAAAAAGTTGAGCACCGGGGAGGGCAACAAAGGGGGACAGGTGAAAAACACACTCATAATAAAGACAAGTGCAGGATGAAATGACATTTATAGAGGTTTGGCAGTGAGAGAGACGTGGAGGAGTAGGAAGTGAATGGGTGGACGAGGAGGACACTGGTAGAGCCTGACATTTATGCCGACCACTGACGTATCCAGAAAGGATCACAAGGGCCAGGGTCCTATTTTAGATCCTATTTTAACAGCTGAATTTTGAATTGGACACCGGTGCTGGAACATTGTCGTAATGGCATCTTACTTGAAAGTCACTCGTAAGAAACTGCATCGCTCAGTTGTGAGGTTGGTTACAAAAGAAAGTGCTAATTCAAGCTTTTAAGTCTTTTACGCAGAAATCAATAGAAATTACCATAAGGGAATGAATGAGAGCGTAGCTGAGGAATGGAAAAGAACTAGGCATTTTTTAAAGGAGATAAGACATTACTACTGAGAATTGCTGATGGGGGGTGGGTGGGGGGGGGGGGGGGGTTTATAAGGCAAGCAGGAAAGCCTGTAACCTTGGTCCTGGTCCTGGTCACAGGCCCTTATTCACCTCACTGTTTATGTTTTATGAATTTCTTAAAGCCAGCATCTCACTGAGCTGCAGCTGTTGGCAGCAAATTGCAAATGGGATCTTTGAGGGAGTTTACTAAATATATCCAAACGTTTTGCAAGGGTCCTCAATTTCCTTGCATGGGTCACAGGGCATCACTCTTACGAAGTGAACATGTCTGTAACACTTCTCAACTTTGTTTTCCATGACAGAAAGTGCAAAAAACGTGATTCAAATTCGGGAAGGTTTCGCAAACCTGATTGCAAAATAAAGACACAATAAAAACATTTTGTTACTAAATGTGAACAAGACATAACTCTTTCAGTTTGCAGCTCAGTGGCCTAGTGGTAGAGTGTCCGCCCTGAGACTGGAAGATCAGGGTTCGATTCCTGGTCGGGTCATACCAAAGGCTTTGAAAAAATGGGACCCAATGCCTCCCTGCTTGGCACTCAGCATTAAGGGGTTGGATTGGAGGGTTAAACCACCAAATAGTTCCCGAGCGCGGCTGTGTCTGCAGCTCACCGCTCCCCCAGGGGATGGGTCAAATGTGGAGAACAAATTTCGCACACACATCAGTGTGTGTGACAACTAATGGGACTTTAACTTTAACTTGCAGTTACATTGTATACTAATGTGACCTGGCTGCGCTTTGGGCTTCCTGACAGGGTTGCGGAAGGCGCTTTATAAATAAAGCTTTGATTGATTGATTGATTGATTGATTGATTGATTGATTGATTGATTGGCTGTATATGAAACTAAAGTGTCATACTTACCAGTGGGATAACGGTTCAAGCAAAGAGCAGCACTAATCTATTGAGACATAACCACGGTCTGCTTAGATCTTGTCCAAACGGTATATATCAACATGACTAATTTCCACAAAGTGCTTGGTATTTTCAAATGTACCAAATGAATAATGCAGCAATGCTTGTTGAGTCATTTGTGCTTTTAGTACATGCACGGCTTAATTACCTTCCTGTAATCCATCATGTGTTTCCTTCAACTAGTTTTCTGTTTGTACCTTTAGTGTTAACAGTTGTCTTGGTAATGTCCTTTCTGGAGCTCTGTCCTCTTGTTGCCATGCCATTTTCATATGATCAAAATCGCTTCTAGAACAAAACCCAAAACATGGCAGCAGACAAGACTGAAGCAAACTTTTGAGTGTTTTTGGTTGCCTTAGGGTTGAGTCGGATGCAATCACTGCTGGAACAGAGATGGGAAAAATTGATGTGCAAACTGCTTTTTGTTCGGTGCACTATGTACAATGATGGTAACCACTCTTATTGTGTTGATGTGGATAGACACAACTAACCTTGCTGTTGGGGTGGTACAGGCCCACTCTGGGGTTGATGCAATAATGAATGTTTTAATTCTGTTTTTCATCACTGACATTATGGCCTGTCTCGTTATCATCAAACTAAAGGCTTTACTGTTATTACAAAAGGTATAAAAAAGACACAGCTCCCGTTTGGCTGTTGTTTGGCTAAGAATTATTATGTTTGAGGCATCTTTCTTCATTTTAGACAATGATACGCCAATTATTCATTGTTATCCGTACAAGACTGTGGATCATGTACGATGTTTCTGTCTTCTGTGAGAGATGTGGATGTGTAGATTTGTAGTTTTAGCAGTAAAGCAAACATAAATGTTCGACAATCTGCAACAACAGTTTCATAATTGTGTCAGTGCTACCTCAAACATCCGTCGGCTGCTACTTAATCACAACTCCAAACATTCAGCAACTGACAACCTTGTTTATTACATAAACTTTTAAAACTCTGGTTTACTTATCCAGTAGCAACTCTAAAGAAAAAAGAGAAAAGAAAACCTTTTAGGAGAATTCAAAGAGAAAAGTACGACAATTACCCTCCAGCAAGCATTTGGCTATAGTACACTCAAAAAGAACATAATCATTTATCCTTAAAAACGTAGACTCCAGCCATTGCTCAGGTTCTCTTTCATTCTCTCTGGATTTCATTTGCATTCAGAGCACTGCTGTGAGCATGGCTGATGACGGCCGGTTATTACGTCACTCCTCTATACTGTCTTAGTGACGCCAGGATAATTGAACTTGCTTATATATCCTCTGGGAAATCAAGCGAGGCTCAGAATACACCAAAGAAGGGACGGAAAAGAGCGGCGCAGCAGAGTGTGTAGTTGAGCGTTTTATTTTCGAGCCTGTTTGTCTCATACATGTGATCTCCGGGAAGAAAAAAGAAAGAAAAAAGGCTGAGACAAACAAATACTGTGAACCGTCGTGTGTCACTTTGCCACTGTCGCATGTGCAACCGCGACTGAGTGACGCACCCAAGTGCATGTGTAACCTGAGATTCAGGTGGTGATGCAGACGGGTGTGCAAATACGTGAGTGGAATTTGTTACCACGGCAACAGGCATTCAGCGAGTCGGTGCAATGGAATGGCTGGTGCAGTTCTATTAGCGAGAAGCAGTTTCCATAGCGACTCAACATCACAGCTGTCTATGTAAGAGTGTGTGTGTGTGTGTCTTTGTATGAATACGGTGTGAATCCTGTGCGAGTTTGAATGTTCATTAGTGTGCCATGCAATGTGTCTCTTGTTTTTGTACTCTTACATTTTATTGGCTTTCATCCGTGGTATCACGTTTAGCTTTTCTGGCATATGTGTGTGTGTGTACCTCCCATCCACTCCTTCGCCCATCAGATTTCTCATGCTGCCCTATTTTCATCTCTTTCCTCTCTCTTCAGTATTTCACCCCCTCCTCCTCCCTATCTCTCTTTCTCTCCTCTTATCCCCCCACCCCCCACCCCCACCACCCTTTCCTTCGCTGAGTGCTGAAGCTCATCAGGGTAAACAGATGCTGTGGCTGTTATTTATGTTTCCACTTGGTCTGCCTTTCATACAAATTATCCACAGGGCCTGCACAGTGCAGACGTTCAGCCTAACTGGGGTGTACTGGCAGCTCTCTCAGCCTTATCCACGCTCAGACAATCAGAATGTACCACAGACGCGGTGAGAGAGGGTGATAGGGACATCAGTACGGGGGGGGGGGTGGGCAGGCACAAGCTGACAAAGTGAAGCACCGCAACATACTGATGGGCTCAAAGACACCAGAAACAGAAAAGGCATAAGGACTGCCTGTGTTATTTGCTCCACGCATGATGGGGAATAACAGTTTGCAGCACAAGACAAGAAAAGAAGAAAAAAATTAAATCCACTAGATAGGTCCGTAGTTTATTTTGTTATCTTTCTTTACTTTTTGAATTTTTCGCTGGCAGAAGGGACTTTAAATGTGTCTTTGTATGAAAACTATTCTAGCTATATCTGGAGTTTGGAATAAATCAAGATGAAATCAAGATGTGTCTAGAATTGTGAAGCAGTTCTAATTAAATTTTTACGGATATGTAAAATGATCAATAAAAGCGTATTTACAAGCCCTTGTTTGTTTGTGTCACTGCAGATATTCGGGATCGTCGTAAAAAACCTGTGATGCTGTTCATCCATGGAGGATCCTACATGGAGGGCTCAGGGAACATGTTCGATGGGAGCGTCCTCGCTGCCTACGGAAACGTAATTGTTGTCACCATGAACTACCGGCTCGGCGTGCTCGGTAAGTTTGAGGGGTCTCGATTTCACCAAGCCTAAGATAAGAGGTGGGTCTAAAGTGAAACCCTGATATCCAAATGTGATGTATTAAAATTTAGAGATTAAAAAAATAGGCTTCTTTATTTTCTTAAAGAGTTTTGGTCAAAAAAATGGAAAACTATGATGTACCTTTTTTTTATCAAAAGCTCGGTACATAAAAAAGTCCATTTGCCTTAGTTTTATCCCAACAGGATCACCATGTCCCGAATGACTGAGAAACTTCACACGCATTTAAAAAGTGTAGTATTTATTTTTATTGAAAACATTCTCAAATTATTTTTTCCTTTAAAGAGAAAGTCACCCCAAATGAAATATTTTTGCTGATAAACTATATAAATGAATCCCAAATCATACTGTAGACACGCTTAGTCAATAATTTGGTACTTTAGTGCATCTTAGTTAAAATTGAAGTATTCTGCCTAAAACTGTCAGAACCCTCTTAAGGTAAAAATTCTGCACTACATTTGAATTTAAATCTGCCATTGCTATTGGCCTAGAGGTACCCTGTGACATTAGCTGGTACCATGTGATGTCACAATGCTGTTGTGAGCCTATGTGTGTGTGTGTGTATTTGTCAGCGGCTCCACCCTCTCAGTCTGCCAGGCAACGCCTCCTGGTGGCAAATTTTTCAAACAGGAAATGGGAGTGGAGTTAGACTCTGGTAGGGAGTGACTTGCTCTTTAAGCAATACATTTCTGCCGAAGTCAAATAATATTACACAGTGTGTAGTTTTGCCTGCAAGAGCAGAGAAGATTTGTGGGGAAAAGTGAAGCCAGAGCTCATTAAAGGGTGAGCTACTCATTAATTACACACAAAACATATTTTATTCATTCATAAAGTTTAACCTCTTTAGACTTTTTTTTTGCAAAATCATGTGGAACTTTTTCTGTCCTTAAAGCATCTACAGTAGATGGAGTATCAGGATTGTTACCTTCATCACAAACCTGCCACACCCAGTTCTGTACATCTATACTGCCCTCTAGTGGATAATCATCAGGTTGCAAGGGCCAATTTGGTTTCTTTATTACTGTTACGCTATTGCATTTGATTTGTAAATACACTAGGTTATTATAACATTGTTATAAGAACATTAGACAATACATGATCCGTTTTTATAGACTAGAAATTGGGGTGAGGTCCTGCCTCAAGTGGAGGAGTTTAAGTATCTCAGGGTCTTGTTTTGAGTGAGGGAAAGAGGGAGAGGGAGATTGGTAGTAGGATTGGTGCTGTGTCTGCGTGTTGTACCGGTCTGTCATGGTGAATAGCCAGAACGCGAAGCTCTTGATTTATCTGTCGATCTACGTTCCTACCCTCGCCTATGGTCATGAGCTTTAGGTAGTGACCGAAAGAACGAGATCGTGGATACAAGCGGCCAAAATGAGTTTTCTCAGCAGGGTGGCTGGGCTCTCCCTTAGAGATAGGGTGAGAAGCTCGGTCATCTGGGAGGGGCTCGGAGTAGACCCTCTGCTCCTCCACGTCAAGAGGAGCCAGTTGAGGTGGATCGGGCATCTGGTTAGAATGTCTCCTGGATGCCTCCCTGGTGATGTTTTCCGGGTACGTCCAACCAGGAGGAGACCCAAAGGAAACGCTGGAGGGATTATGTTTCTCAGCTGGCCAGGGAACGCCTTTAGATTCCCTCAGAGGAGCTGGCCCAAGTGGCTGGGGAGAGCCTCTCCGCTTAAGCTGCTGCCACCTGCGACCCGACCCTGGATATATGGATGAAAATGGATGGATGGATATTATAACATGTCTATTTCATATTTCACACTTTAAATGATTAAGATGGGCAAATGTGGCCAAAACACCCCTTTCCAAACAATCATTGTCATTCTAGCATAAAGTAAAATTGTAAATGGCCTTTATTTATTTATGTAGCCTTTGTGGAGTTCTTCAAACCCCCAAGGCACTTTACAGCCCTTTACCCGTTCACACCCACATTCACACACAGGTGGCACAGTGAAGGAGCGAGGCTGCCATACACAGATGCCACCAGTCCCACTGACCACCATCAGCAGGTCACGCCCAAGGACACAGCAACACGACAGACTCATAGCTACACAAACCTGCAACCCTGCGCTTACGGGGCAGGCACTTAACTTCTCTTCTACCAACTGAGTGGTCATTGCTGGCTTTTTGTATAACAGAACACAACATGGACCAACCTTTATTACTATTAATAAATGCCACAGATTAGCATATAATTAAAAACAACCAAAAGGTCACACCAAAGCATCTTAGCAGAAACCTTACCTTAGTAGTACGGTGTAACATTCTCAATCTTTTTGTGTTATTGTATCTTTCACTACGTAATTCACATTTTTTTTTATCTATTTTAGCCAATGCTTGGTTTCGTTGCGTTTATGCCAACATAAGAATGCACAAGAAAATATCACACAAAGCTGAACTCCAATCCGTTATAATTCTATATTTACCCTTGCAGATTTTTGGTTTACTTCAACGTCCCATTTTTAAGATTGTTGCTATGATTCAAACTTGTTTCGGTTTAATTATGCCACCGATCATGGATAGTGTAGCAGGAGACAGGACAGTGTTATCTGCCAGCAGCCAACAACAAATAGGTGTAGTCACTGTGTTCAATTGGGCTGAACATAATGGGACGTTTTTGTTTGTCTTTTTAATTAAAATATGTATTAATATGCTCTCCATCAGAGAGAGAGGCACGAGGACCGGAACCACTTTACTCCTGAAACACCGCTGACAACTTAGCGCTTTAGGTGTATGTTCACCCAATTAAAAGTGATGTTTTTTTTTTGCTGTTGTGTTTAAAAATGTTTATGTTTATTTTTTCCATTCTTTTGGAGCTTTGCAATGGTTGTTTGGGCTGAGTTGTTTTGTGAGTGTGTGTGTGTGTGTGTGTGTGTGTGTGTGTGTGTGTGTGTGTGTGTGTGTGTGTGTGTGTGTGTGTGTGTGTGTGTGTGTGTGTGTGTGTGTGTGTGTGTGTGTGTGTGTGTGTGTGTGTGTGTAGTCCTTGTGTTCCTGGATATCAGGAAAGTCAAGTATTTACATTCTCCATCATCTTCCGGAGCTGTTTGCACAAAGACTATTTGCGGCAGTCCTCATCGTTGCCAGGTTGGGTAATCAGATCGTGTTTATTGCATCGGGGCTGTTTCAACATATCACTGTAATGATAAACAGAGAAACTGGAGTTGTTTCAGATGGAGTCCAGCAGTTGCAGCGGGTATTAACAGAGGGCAACGTAATCCACACTGTCATTGACAGTGGCGGCCGAGAGGCACGAGGACAAGGACGAACTGAAAGTTTTATGAATCGAGCCGCACCTGAACCTGCTGATCTATCCGGCTGGCTTTCAGCTCTTTCCAGACAGATCGCCGCTGAGATCAGATAGCGAAACAATCCCAAATATTGTTGTTTGCCTCCACGATGAACACCTTGACCTTGTGTCCTGCAGAAAAGGTGCCTGATTAATTCTGAGATCTGTGCTGTGATTCATATTTCCGATGTCTAAAGATCACCCATGCATTTAAATTAAGCGCATAGCCCTGAAATTCCAGAGGAAATAAAAAAAATATATGCATTTAAAAATAAAGGAGGCGATATATCCCACAGAGATATTGTGAGGGATGATAGTGTCCTTGATTCTGGTAAGATTGTTAAAAAATGTTTGGTATGTGGGTGAAAATGTGCTGTCTCTCACACACTCAGGAATGCTTTAAATGGGTTACTGTACTAAGGCGATTATCCTTGTGTGTGTGTGTGTGTGTGTGTGTGTGTTTGTATATAAGCATGCCTTTTGCCTGTGTGCACACTGTGCATGTGACGGCATTTGCAAGTGTGCGGGCAGTCATTAGTTGCTTGCAAAAAAAAAAACATTTTTATGAACAATACACCATCCGACTGAATTTTTCATTGCCCCCCTCTCTGACACAGTGCATAAGTGAGAAACGGAGGTACGCTGCATCTTAATGGTTTTATGTTCTAATCTTTAGCATTATCCTGTACTTACACTCACAGGAGCTTACACATGCCAACCTCATTTCATACAATGCCTGTGCCTTTAAGAGGGATGGAGAGTCAGGAGTAGGGTAATAGGAGAGAGCGGGGGATGGAGACGGATGAGCGAGGGAGAATCACAGAGAGACAGTGAGGGGAGAGGAAACATAAGGGGGGAGATGGGAGCAGTCTAAAAATAAACCACAAATGCTTTTTAAAATCTTCACTGGAGCAAAGTATTCATTGGGATAAATGGCCGCTGCAATCTGACCACTGCTTCCTCCTACAAGATGCTGTGATGTTACCCGTGACCCAAATGTGTTTGTGCTTGGCAAATAATAATTTTGAAAGAATTTGTTTAATAATTTATGAAGCGCTCAGGCATTGTGCAATAAAATGGGTGAAAGAGAAGAAAATGTCTGCTGCGTGCAGTCAGTCGAGAGGTTTGGACTCGTGACTGAAGACGCTTCTCTGCCCACCTTCTCTTACCTTTCTCCTGCTCCATGCTCAGAGAGCCGTCTGATTTGTGTTGCATAGCCATCTGCTCGGACTAATTAACTAATTAACTAATTAATGGACTCCAGGGATAGGCCCACCATCGTGGGCTGGGAGAACATTTTTAACCTCAGGAAGAGAGATGAAACGCATCTCGTGGAAACATTTCATCCCCGTTTCTTCCCAGTTTCTACTGTTTTTATTTTTCCTTTCTTTTTTTCTGCAAGTCAGCAAGTAAACTGACCTGATTGAATCTTCTACATCTGATGAAAGGATTTGTGATTGTTTGATTAGCATCTTAGTAAAACCAAACTAATTGCTCAGATTTGCTAAACTACAGCCACTTAATTAAAAATGACAAGTAACAATTTTCAGAACTAATTGTTTACACACCAATTTGTACTTCTTTCACACCTTTACTCATTATTATTAAGAGTTAGCTGATATTTTTATTTTGACGTGTTTGACGCCTGATGAGGCTTTTTTAGGCCGACAAAC